TATCCATGCACACTACCCATATAAATTCTCGTGAATAAGTCTTACAGACAAAAAAACTGAAGTGTGGGCCCGCACGGACCCGATAACAACCGTGGTGTTATATTTGTGATTCCACCGGTGCTACAGCCGCCTTCTATCGCCGTTTTGGTAGATCAAACATTTCTGAAGAAAAGAAGACGTCTCCGAACTCTCTGCAACATTTCTTCGTGAAACAGCATTCAATTAACGGAAGGCCCTAAGGTCGTATCTTTCTGGTTTTCCCTTGAGTTGTATAGCTGTTAAGGGAATAAGTAATAAAAATTATTTATGAAATTATTTAGGAATTATAAATTATAAAATTATTTATTATTTTATGTCAAGGGAATATAAGTTGACAGCTGTCAAGAGATAATCTAAATTTATTTGAGAAATAAAGAAAATTCACCTTTTTCATGACACTAAAATCGAGATTAATTGTTGATCTCGATGAGTATTGAGGAGGAACAGAGTATACTAGTTTAAGACACTTGTAAAACTCGGCTTACCTATGTTTTAACTGAGCTTGAATACTATTGAAATGTGAAATGAGTATTTCAAGTTAAGATAAGATTTTTAGATAGCCGAGAATATTTGTCATGCTGACAGTGCCTACTATAAAAATATATACATTATCTGAAAATAAGTACATAAATCAACACTATCAACAGGTCAAGTGACAGATATGATGTGAATCAAACTAGATGAAAAACGTTTTATTTCAAAAGGGCTAAAAAGTTTGAGATTTAAATTTCAGGTTTTTTATAGTCCAATTTATTCATTCTAGTGGTTTTTTTCTTTGTAGTTTGTTTTAAGAGAGAGAAATAGAAATGGTTGTAGCAGCAACAGCATCGTCATCGAAAAAGAAGGTGCTGTGGTCATGGCAGTCAAATGTGGATCCCCATGGAATGAAAAACAAAAAAAAGAATGGAAACGTTATTCCGATTTAGAAAGCGAACTGATAGAGAAAACTTATCAAACGAAAGAACGGCAAGTGCAGTTAGAGCAGCACATTATTGATTTTAAGTATATTGTACAGATTAGTAAAAGTAACAGTAATAAAAAGAGACCTGTGAAAAGAGAAGTAGTTGAAGTCGGCCATTACTTAAGACAAAAACGATTTTCTTATCCAGAAAAACCAATTAAATTATTTGGATCGAGTGATCGATGTTGGAAAAAGTCTGAATTTATTTTTGAATGGATGCAAAGAAACCGGGCGATAACAAGCTATCCTAATATACAGTGGCGAGAAATTGTTGAACAAGCTGCTAAAGGTATAATTTCTTTCTTTCTTTATATACGTTCTTTATCACAGAGATTCACTTCTTGTGTTATAAAACTATAGGTATTTTGAATGAAGGA